AATGCTCACCAGTGCCAGTGGGATGCCCTGAATCCAGCCCACCTGTGCCTGTGGGTGGAACAGAGTCCAATCAGCACTGTGGAGCAACACTCACTATCTCCCTCAGAGAAAATAGCATCTTCCTTCCCAACAGCCTCTCCTTGGTCCCGCCACGATGTGGCAAGTACAGCCCTGGGAAGGGATCACTCCTCTGCCCACATTACACCTGGACCATGGAAGAAGGGACAGAACCATGTCCCTGCTCTCCCCAAAGTCTTCCAGGGCTCCCCCATCCTTCCCAGGCCATCACCACCTGGAAGAAGGATGCCAGCCTGGAAAGGAGGATGCCAACCCTCCAGAAGTCCTGGCACTGCCACCAAGCAGCCTCCTGCTCTGGCCCCCCCGTGCCCCCCCAGCACGGGGAGATGGAGCTAAATCTCTCCTGCATCAGACTCTCGCTGGCTCCGCAGCACGAAGAGATTAAAAAACAATAAAGAGAAAGCGAAACCCTCCGCTATAATTACCAGCCTTTAGCCGCCAGCGGAGGCAGGAGGGAGGGAGGCAAGGAAAAAGGAGGAAAAAGAAACAGAAGAGAAGAAGAAATCCACTAAAATTTTAATAGGAACCACTGCATTTAATTTAACGACACATTTTTTCAATTACCAGAATAATTGTTTTATTCATAAAACGAGTTTCAATAAGAGGGTAATTTTCCTTTGTTTTTATTATTCATTTGTGGAACATATTCGCGGTGCAGTTTCTCGGCGCCGTGGCAGCCGCTCACATCTGGGGCTGGGGGAGCTGGGCAGCATCACTGGGGTGCCCCATGGCCCCCCAGACACAGCACCCATGGGGGACCACAATGTCCCCAAGCACCCTGATGGGGGATGTCAACACCCCCAAGTACCCAGGTGGGGAATTTCAATGTCCCCAAGCACCATGGTGGGAGACCACAACATCTCCAAGCATCCTGGTGGAGTCACAGACTTGACTGAGTACAAGGAGAGGTGTCCACAGGGGATTCATCCTGGCCAAGGGACACTGTGGACCCCACCAAAGCCACCTCAGCTAGGTGGCCCCATGTCCAGAGAGCTAGGGATTGATGAACCCCCATGGTTGTGTCCCTGACCAAGGAGCCATCCCTTGGCTAAGTCACATTCCCTGCCTGTCAGATGCCAAAGTACGCTTGGGAAGCATCAATTTTTCAGTAGCTGTTGGTAAAGTCATCAGGTTGATTAAAAGGCACATGTGTCCCTATGGGCACTGAGGGCACAGTCCCCAGTGCTCCCAGTGCCCCCACACAGTGCCCTCATAGGAGGCCCTGCAGGGCAGGTGGACAGCAGGTGCAGAGGGATTAGTGATGCTCTGCCACTGCCAGATCCATTAGTATTCCTGAG